AGGGAGGGAGAGAGAAAGAGAGAAAGAGAGAAGGAGAGAAGGAGAGAGAGAGGGGGGGCAGAAGGGGGGAGAGAGAGCGAGAGAGGGGGAACAGGAGAAGGAGCGGGGAAGCAACGTGGAGAAGAAGCGAGGGGGTGGGAGAAGGAGGATACGACGGGCTTCGTGCGTGAAAACCCAGGTCGTACCGGAACCCGTGTGGACCACTGGCTGGCTTGAAAACGCGCGAAGTCACCGCACGGAGGGTCCGGGCTATAACATTAATAACAATCTGATTGTTATTAGGAGGAAATTTTCCTGTTTTTTAATTTTTATCCATTTTTTTCTCGGATGTATTATTTTCACGGGCGCAGAGTTCAGATTCGCGTACATTCAATCTCGGATATAAGCTTTGTTGAGTAAGCGCATCGCTCAGTCACGAGTGATTTTTCATCTAGGATGCAGTTTTGTGAATAACTAGATCTAGAATCTAGTTTAGTTTCGCGTGTTTCTATTTTCTATGTCTGAACATTTATTACCAGTAATTATTGTTCAGTTTCGTGTATAACGTGTTTAATAATATTCTCGGTTGTAAATTCTTGAAAAGTTAATAACAAGACCTAGATCTAGACCTATCTAGAATCTAGCTCAGTGCGGGTGCGAAGACATGAAATTAAGTTTTAACTTATTTAAATCTCACTTTCATAGACCCAGCCTGGTGTGTCTGGATTACTTTTTGATTAATTCCTACCTTCGGGACTGACTTCCCAAAACGTTGTGTGTGTGCGTGTGTTTGTTTTCTTAGTGTGTGGCTACCAGCAGAGCTACAAATTCTGGAATATAGAGCGGCCGCACTGATCAATACGGCGTTATCGCTCCACAGGTAGTCAACACCTGCCTTTTTACCAGCCACAGTTTTGAGCCGTTCTTCCAACGAGCGTTGTTTTAATAAATTATTTTTTTTGTAACGCTTTGCATGTTGTATTGAAGGTAAACGATTTCCTTCACACTGCGGCTGTTTCCTGTCAGGGAATGGGTGTTTGAAACACTTCAGTCAGGGAATGGGTGTTTGAAACACTTCAGTCAGGGAATGGGTGTTTGAAACACTTCATAAACAAGTCTGGAATATCCTGTGAGGGAAAGGTGTGGCAGAGAAGAAAACAAAGAGTTGTTTTAAATCGGCAAGGGTGGGCTGTTGAAGGGAGAGGGTAAAACTGAATGAAAGCAGTATACTCTATAGCGTCTTTGTATACAGGCCCCTTTGGCGACTGCATAATATCGTAAAACAGTTTTCTCTCTTTCTCAGTCTTTGACCCTTTCTTTCTCGTTCTCAGACTTTCTTTTTGCGATCTCTCTCTCTCTCTCTCTCT